AGTGATGGTGACCCTCCAGGGCCACAGTACATAAACGTGCACGGCACATCTGTAGTGAAATTCACAGGCCCAGTGGGCTTTAGGAAGAGCAGGTCTAAAAATTTTTTTGGTGGGGGTGTAATGAAAAAAGGTTGACAAACACTGATGTAAATTCAGACCCACCCAGGGTGGTACACACCCACACGCGCACACACGCACACACACGCACACACACGTGTACACACACGCGCACGCACACACGCACAGCTCCCAGGTGCTGGAACTTGCTCACTCCAACCCCACTGCCTCCCAGAGGGCAGGATGCAGGTATCTAATCACCTGGGCATCAGTCAGCTCTTCACCCAGCCCCAGGCATTTCCACCACATCTGCCCCAAACTGGGAAGCCCCAGGGCAGCTGTTCCTGCAGAACCTCCACCAGGAGGGGTGCTGAGAAGGGCCCTTCTTTCTCTCTCTGTAGTTTCTTCCCAAAGCCCTGTCACTGTCCTGCCATGGTCCCAGCTCATTCCAAAGTCCCAAGGAACACCCTCCCCATCCTAAATTAGTGGCAGTTCACAGTGCCATCCTCACCTTGCACATACCTCCGGTGCCCCTGCTTCACCCTCTCAGTCATGGCCCTCTGCTCCCACCCTGTCCCCAGCCCCTCTTGGCTGCTGTGTACTCACCAGGATGCTCCTGTGTCTGCACCCTCTGCTCCTCACCCCTGCTAACAGTCCCCTGGCCTCCCAGGGTCTAGGCCCCCACTTGCCGGCCCCTCCTTCCCGCCACCACCCCCCTCCCCCCGTGGGTGCCAGGGACCGCCTGCCTCCAGGGCCCAGCTCCTCCCTGTCCCCGGGGGAGGGGGGCACAAAGGGGCCCTTGTCACCATTGCTCGACTGGGCAGCCTGATGCCTGGGTTCTACTAGCTCCTTCCTGGAGGGGATGGGGGGCTGCCTCACTTGTTCCCCTCTCCTGCATTGCTGTGCACCCTGGTTCGGAGTCCCTGAGAGGGCGTTCTAATATCTCTGAACATCTCAGACTGAGAAACAGAAGGCGTTGTCCTCAGCATCCAGGGAATCTTGGTGGCAATGACAGGTACAACCCTGGTCAGGAGAGGCAACAGGGGCCGGTGTGGGCGGGAGAGGAGACAGGCCCTTGCCATTCTGGGCTTCAGTGTCACCTCCACCCTCCCTCACAGTCACTTCCCTGGTCACAGTGGTGCCTGCATCCTGGTCTATTTGCTTCTAGGCTCTTCTTGTCATCAGAAATGACCTTAGGTATTGACTATCTCCTCTCATGAGAACATGACCTCCAGGAGGACGAGGGCTTTGCCTGCTGTAGCCCAGCTCCTGGCACAGCTAAGCTTCATAAACGAAGGGTGGATGCATGCACGTATCTGTCCAGTTCCCTGTGGCACCTTCTGACTGGAGGCCTTTGCACCGATTCCCTCCTCCTGGAAAGCTCCTCTACCTCGCCCCACGCCCACTCTGCCTAGCCAGAGCCACCGAGTGGATGCCACTTCCTCTGGAAGCCGGCCTGCCTTCTCACCAAGCCAAAGTCCCTCATTTACATGTGACTGTCCCTCCACACCCCTCAGCACATCTGCTCATCTGCACAATCGGTGAGCTCCTTCCCCACTAGCCAGGAGCTTCCAGAGGGCAGTGTTTCTATCTGTCTGTCTGTCTTACCCCCCTAGAACAGAGCCCCAAGGGTATTTGCTGGGGGCTGTGCTGACTCTGAGCAGGGTAGGGACCCGCTGTGGGCAGATTCCGCGTGATCCTCCTGCCATCCAGACCCTTCCATTGGCACGATCTCTGCAAAGTGGTGGTGGGAGCCTGCAGTGGTTTGGTTAAGTGCAGTAGTGTTTTGACTGTGAGCTGCTCAGTCACATTGGGGCATCTTCTGTGGGGAGGGAGAACCTGGGTGGATGGCGGGCTGAGGGGCGGGAAATCCCTCAGACAGGGAATTGAGGAGAGAAGGCTGGATGGAGGAGGGAAGGAGAGTCCCATCCCCACATCAGGCTTTATGATGTCAGACTCTGCCCGTGCCTTTCCCAGTCAGGGACAAAGGCCCATTGAGAGTGGGGTGGGGCTTGAACGCCTGGGTCCTGGAGAAGGGCTTGAACGCCTGGGTCCTGGAGAAGAGAGGGGCCTGGTGCCTGGGCTTTGGGGGAGGGCACCATGACCTGGATACTCACGTTACAGCCTCCAGTGTCAGCACCAACCCCCTTGGGTTCATGTACCTGCGCTGTTTTGGGGGTACATCTTTCTGGGTGTGAATTGAAGGCTGTCCCCGAGAGAAGGATGCACAGGCGAGTGAGTCCCATAGACAGCACTGGCAACTATTACCGAAATCTGAAAACCCCGGTGTCCAGAACACAGGAGGACTGGGGGACCAGAGAGCACAGGCCTGCCTACAGGGGAGCGGTGCCACTCACACCCAGCCCCCAACTCTGCCAGATCACCCAGTCCTTCCCTTCAAGGCTAGGGACACTGTGACAAAGTACCACAAAACGAATGGCTTAGAAAGTTTATTATATCACTGCTGGAGGCTGGAAGTGGGAAGTCAGCATTTGGGCATCGGTTCCTTACGAGGGCTGGGGGAAAGGAGCTGTTCCTTCCCTTCAGGCTCCCCTGGGCTTGCAGATGGCCACCTTCATGTTCAGCAGGCGTTCTCCCTGGGTGAGGGCCTCTGTGCCCAAGAACCCCTTTTATAGGACACCAGTCCTCCTGGGTTAGAACCTACCCTAATGACCTCATTTTAACTTAATTACCTCTCTACAGACCCTCTCTCCAAATAAGGTCACAATCTGAGGTACTGGGATTTAAATCTTCACAGTTTAGCCCATAATATCAGGAGTTCAGATTTTTATGTGCCATACCTTGCTTTTTAGGTATTAGCCCAATTGTATCTAAAAATACTGTGCACTGCAAGCAAAAGTCAACTCAAGGCAGATCAAGCCCTCAGGCCCACTTGTTTAAAGCTCTCTTGATCGATAGCTGGTTCTTGGTCTCAGCGCTCAGCCAGAGTTGTCAGCTTTGTACCAGGAGTTGTCAGCTTTGTACTGCCCCGCCCTACCCGCCAGCAGCATCAGTATTGCCTGGAAGCTTATTAGAAATGCAAGTTTATCGCTTCTCGGCCTTTTGGCTAAGATCAAGTGTAGAAATGCAAGTTCCATGGCCTCACCCCAGCCCTGCAGAGTCAGCAACTCTGGCAATCTGCCCCCTAGCAGATTCTGGTGCCCACAGAAACTGGAGCACCTCTGCCGCTCTCTAGGACCACCTGGAGAACTTGCTAAGATGAGCAAAGAGTACTCAGCATCATGAAATGTATTTAGTCGTTTCAGGTTTCCCACCTCCCAGGCATTTATTGAGGGGGTCCGGAGTCCTCTTCCTTCCCCTTTATACTGATCCTTTATACTGATGAGGCATTTGACAGTTTCCAAAACCATTTCACACTCATTCCTTGCTGAGCTGCTCAACAGCCCAATCAGCTGAACACTGTAGGGACACTTCTGTCCTTTCACACATGAGGAGGTGGGGTTCAGAGCGGGGGGTGGAAGGTGGGGGTAGAGAGAAGATGCCTGCTCCATCCTACAGCAAATGAGGCCAGGCTCTCCAGCTTGCCTTCCTCTCCCACCCCTTAGTCTTGGTTCAGGAAATCCTCTCAGAGGAGGAGCCTCTCATGGCTTCGAAGGCAGAAAGCAGAAGTATGTGGGTTACCAAACTGATCCAGCTCCCAGTTGGGTTTAGTTTAGCTCCCAGAGTGTTGATTTAAAAAAATCAAATTCCTTTAATCAGTTGCCAAAATTTTTACAATCAGGAAGGATGGCCACCTTCTCTGGGAAAGAAGCTCTAGCCATGTTTCACCCGCAGCCACTTTAGATGGGATCAGGCCTCCCCACTTCCTGTCCATACACAACACTGAAGCCAAATGGCCAAGACCCTTCAACATCACACCACTGCTGATGTTTTCTTATAGGCTAAGAAGACAGTGAAATGCATCTTTGTTTCTATCAAAAGTGGGAAAATTGGATAAATTGAGAGGGATATAGTTTTTAAAAAGAATGGGAGGGACCTTAATTCCTTGTGAAGGTGAACGGTATTCTCTTCTGTGTGTCATGTGCAAAGTGTGTCCTTATTGAGAGATTACAACCTAATATGCTCCTGCGAAACAAATCCACACCTCCCTCATTTACTGCAGCTGTCTGCAAGGCCAGTGGTTCTCAAACATTTTGGTCTCAGGAACCATTTCTGCAAAATTACTGAGGACTCCAACAACTTTAAGTGGGTTATATGTACAGTTGCTTAACATATTAAAAATTGAAACTGGGAAATTTTTAAAGCACAACTACAATCCATTAGCCATCAGAGTGATGATGTCATCATGTCACAGAGCTTCTGGAAAACCCCACTGCACACTCATGAGAGAATGAGAGTGTAGGAAATAGTAACATCTTAATAGTGTCCGCCTGTGGGGCCTTGGATGGAGCCCCAGACCTGACTTTGAGAACCCTCGCTAGGCATTTGAGTTTGTCACCCATTTCAAGACTTAAAGAAGAAACTTTGTTTAGTTGTTTTTTTAAAAAATATATTTTATTGATTTTTTTACAGAGAGGAAGGGAGAGAGATAGAGAGTTAGAAACATCGATGAGAGAGAAACATCCATCAGCTGCCTCCTGCACATCTCCCACTGGGGATGTGCCCACAACCAAGGTACATGCCCTTGACCGGAATCGAACCCAGGACCCTTCAGTCCGCAGGCCGACGCTCTATCTACTGAGCCAAACCGGTAACGGCACTTTGTTTAGTTTTTATTTCCTGCTGTAGCAACAAAAATTCTAGGTCTTATGAAGTGGGGCTTAAAGAAGGGGAAGAGCAGAAAACAAATTTCTTTCACCAAGCTTCCTTGCAACCTCGATACACAACAACCCCGCACATCCCAGTGAGTACACCCTTACAAGACAGTAGCCAGGCAGGCCTCTGGCATAGGCCTTGGGCAGGGAGAAAAGGCAACACGCTGGTTTGGAAAATAAAAGCTGGAACAGTCATTTTATTCTGAGACATTTACCAAGTGTTCGAGGGCGGCAGGAATAAATAAGGGAGGGCGTGAGGGCAGGGAGACTATGTCTTGCAGCAGATCCCACACTTGGATGGGTAACAGCAGCCACAACAGAAGATGCAGATGGGGAAGTGAGTGTCTCGCCGCCTCCGTCTCTGCAGCCCAGGCTGTAGGAAGGAAGGAAGAGTGAGCGGGTGTGGGCTCAGGGAAGGCTGTGAGGCTCTGAAAGGAGGCCCAGGTGTTCTCACCATCAAGCCAGCTGTGGCTCCAGCTGTATCCTGGGTCTGGAGGTCTGCAAGCTGTGTTGTCTGTGAAAGCAGAAGGGAATACTGAGGATGGCAGGGGCCCGGCAGAGCTTCATTTGCGCACCAACCCATTCTTCCCTCAGCTGGAAGCCTTGCTTTCTGGCCTTTCTCACCTCCCCACAGGCAATCTCCTTCCTGCAGACACCCAGGCCTCCTACTCTCTCCACAGCTGCTGCTCTTCTTTGGGACATCACCCTCCCTGGCCTGGATGCCACCCCTCACCCATAAAAAAACCTGCCTCCATCTTGCCCCTACAATCCATTCCCACACATATCAGTCATGTTGTGGCTTTACCCATTAGAAAAGCCTGCAGGGCTCTTCCTGCACTTGGAGGAAAATCAGGGTTTGCATGATTGCCCATAAGACTCAGCATGCCCACCGCTCAATCTCAGCTCCAAGCACCAGCACCCACTTCTTACAGCCTGATTATCAAGTACACCATGCTTGCCCCCACCTCGGGTTTTAGCTTACCATCTCCATCTCACCCTCCAAGTTCTAGGTCAAATACCATTTTCTCACAAAACACTCCTGCTTGACTGCCAGCTCTTGATCTCACCTATCCCCTTCCACCTCCCACCACCATGGTCACTACAATTTTTTTGTTAAACCTGAGTAGCATTTACTAAACACCATGATCTTTTGTTTTTACTAATTCCCTGACCAGATTGTATGCACCATAAGAGCAAAAATCTTCTCTCATCTCCCTTGTTCATTGCTTGATCCCCACTGTTTAGAATAGGACTTTACACAGAGTAGGCACTCAAATGTAGAATTAGTTTGGGACCCCCAGTCCCTGCCACTTGGACCCTATCTCTGTACTTTAGGCAGCTGCCCATTCCCCCTTTGCCTGCCTTTCCATCTGCCCAGTCCACTGCCCTCAGCAGTCCCCTCCGAGGGCCTGGCTCTCCCATGTGGCTGCCTGCTGGGCCCCGGCCCCGTGGGCTCTCACCTGGTGCAGAGCTGAGACACTGGTCAGGCTGGCCAGGAGGAGGAGCAGCAGACAGGCAGCCTGGATCCGCACGGTCAGTGCCATTGTGCCGTCTGGCTAGCTGTCCTGCTGTGAAGTCTAGGACGGCTCTGGTGTCTGGGCTCTGGTGTCTGGGCCGTTACAGCCGCTTTTATGGGGCCTGCTAGGAGAGGCGGAGGTGCTAAGCCCCCTCCCCTTTGTCCTAACTCATTTCCAAGAAGGTAGTGGCGCCGAAAAGGCGGGAGATAAGCGGGAACAGAGTGACAGGGAACAGGGTTGTGTCAACCTCAGCCAGCAGAGGTGTGTACAGGGGGTGGGGCAGATGGGGCCACAGACACAGGCCTCTAGCCAGACACCTGGGAAACACTTTCCCTAAGATGACATCACCTTGTTGATCTCAGAAAAAATTCCCCCTTTTGCCACAGAGGTTGCACAGGTCAATGAGCAGGAGCAAGGTGTCCTTGTTCCCCACCCCTCCTCGTTCACATGGGGGATGGCTGTCACTTACCAGGGTCCTTTGGGGTGCCCCATACCATTCCCCAGCTTCGGGTTCTGTTCTGTAGGGAACACTGCAACAGCCAGATGCAGGAGTTTGAGATGGCACAAGCGTGGTCTTTTATAAGTGTCAGAACCTTAAGAAGTGGCCTGGTATCTGGAAAACGTTCCTGTGAACTTCAGACCATGGAATAGCAGTAACAGTAGTGGCTCACCTCATGCCCCAGCAGGTGTAGACTCACTTTTGTGTTAACCTAGCCAGGACCACCTGTCCTCAAAGCAGTGCCTGCTGCCCCATTCTGGGCTCTGCACTGTATTCAGGGCCTTAGCTCCCTACTCAGCCCTGGCTTCCCAGGCGCTGCTCCCTCTTAGGAGCCCACCATGCCTACCCGGCTTGCTTTCCTCACTTGACAGGAGAGGAACTGAAGGCCAAGATGGGGCTCTGCCCAGATCAGAGGCAGAGCTGGCACTCCAGAGTAAGCAGCCTGACTCAGGCCTGTGCTCTTATCACCAGGCTTTCCTGCCTCCCCCAAACACAGGATGTCAGTGGGCTGTGCTAGACCTGGCTCATACTGGCTCAACAGAGCCACTGTGCACATCTCATCCCACCTCCACATTCAGTGGCAGCATGTTGGTATCTGGACACCAGCAATGGGGTATGTACACAACAGCCAACACTACAAACCAAGGTTCTTTTGGGGGGAGAGCTGGTCCCTTAGAATAGCAGTCGCCAACCTTTCGGACCTCACGGACCACCGGTTGGCGACCACTGCCTTAGAACACCACTGGGTGGGGAGATGAACCAAGGCTCCTGACTGTCCTAGCCACTACCTGAATCACAGGTAGTGGGTACACACAGCCCAGAGGACCCACAAACTTAATTCCAGAGATGGGACTTTGGCCATTTTGGCTCTGACTCATTTACAGATCATCCAGTGTCAACCTTACCACTGGAGCCTGAAGATGCTGCTGCCAAGGAATGAAAACTTCTCCCCTGCCCTGAACTATAGCCGAGCTCATTCAAAACAGTAAGATGGGGGCCCCTGGGAAATCAAGGCTGCTCCTTGCCATCTGCCTCCCCATTCACATCACATTAGGCTCTTCCTGCTGCACACACCCTCAGAGGGACTCAAACCGAGTAATGGCCAGGAAAAGGAGACAGGGCTCTCAGCGGGAAGAAACCAGTTGGGGATATCTGGGGTGCATGCATGGTGAACTCAGCACGGTGGCGACTGGCAGGCCTAGATCCTGGGAGTGGATGGAGTTGCATGGGGGCTGCACAGTTGGCCACAGGGAGACCCAGAAGCATCCCCCAACATTGCCTGGTGTCACTACATCTCCACTCAGGCCAGGTTTCATCATCAGCCAGGGGCAGGGGTCATAGCACAGGCGCCAGAGCCACAGTGCAAGGCGACAGGCTGACGGGCCAAGCCTGGCTTCCTGGCCTTCTGCCTTCCTTGGGGGTGGGGGGCTCAAGGCCAGGCCCCACCATTGGCTGATGCAGAGGGAAGGGCTTCAGCCCAGAAGGGCAGAGCCAGGAGCCAGTCCTGTTTTTAGGAACTGATGACACAGGAGACCCCAGCCTCTCCTCCAAAGACATAGGTCCTTGACCCAACCTCTCCCCAGCCCCCACATACATATACACACCTGGGGCCTCAAAGAGGATATTCATTCTTTAATTCCTCCAGCCAGCCAGCCAGCCAGCCAACAGACTGGGTCCCGTGCAGTACAGAATGGCAGGGACTGGCACAGAGCCACCAACAGCAGCTGAGGCCCTGCCCTGATAGAGCTCTGCACAGACCCCATGACCCCTGCCCATACCTGAGATGGACAAATACGCAAACAGACAAGGCGGGGCCACATGGGGCCAGTTTATTGCAGTTAAATACCTCTCTCTCTATTTTTTGTCCATTTTTCCATAAAGAAAATTAAAACACACACACACACACACACACACACACACACACACACATACTCAAAGGGGAGCAGGAATCCAGAAACAAGAGGTGGGGTGAGACATGGCCTCCCTTCTTAGGTCCAGGTCCCAGGGATGGCCCCCCAAAGGCTCCCCTCCTGCCCGTAAGCACCATGTCAGTACCTCTAGAGGCCAAAAGAGGCAGCAGGATATGGCAGGGCCTCTGTCCTCCTCCCCTTTGCCTCCAGGCGAGACCACTAGAAGTGCTGGGGCTTAGTGAGGGCCAGGAGAAGGGGCAGACAGATGGGGGAGGGAGGTCATTTCCACATCCAGGAGAGCAGTGGGTGTTTATCCAAAGAAATGCATTACTTCTCCCCATTTTTTTTTGTTAAAAATCTACTATAAAAAAACGCAGCTGGGGGAGGGGCATCTGTCCCTCTCTGTGCTAAGGGCTGGGGGAGGGGGCAGCAGTCCCAGAGGAGGGCCTGCCGCACGACGGGAAGGGCGTCACTGCCGGTTGCTCTCGCCCACCATCTCCAGGTTGTGCTGCTGCAGCTGGGCTCGAAGCACGGCATTCTCATTCTTCAGCTCCTCAATCTGGCAGACATGAGAGGGCACAAGGGGCCAGGGATAGTTCCCTGCACCGTGGGGTCCTGGGTCCTCCACCCAACTCCCAGCCCTGGCACTCACCTGTTGCCTCAGGAGCTCATTATCCATCTGCAGCCGTTCGGCCTCCTTGAAGGTCTCCTGCATGCGCTGGTTGGTCTGGCGCAGCTCCCGGATGTAGTCGCAGGCCTTTGACAGGATCCCTCCTTTACTCTGGGGGACGGGCAAGAGCATTAGAGTGAGCACTGCCCACTGGCCTCTGCCTACTGGCTCACCCCAGTGGTCCAGGCAGACTTTCTGGGTGGCGCCAGGGGCACTCACCGCTCCTGTCTTGCTGTTGTCTGTGTTACAATCTGGAATGATTTTTGAAAGTTGGACAATCCAGTTGTTGATCTTGTCCCTCCGCCTCCGCTCCACTGTAGGCACAATAGCAGTATCAACAGCTAGGTTTATAGCACTTTCTGTGCGGCTAGGCGATTTGCCTCCCGAGGCAGGTGCCGGCAGACCCCAGACTGCTGAGGGAGGGCACGGGCCCTGGGCAGGGTCACACTGCTAGCAAATCTAGAGTCAAGATCTGAAGGCAGGCCGCCAGCTTCCCCGCCTGCTTCCCAGTGCTTCTCAAGAGAAACAAAGAAAGCCTCGCTCTCAAGGACCACATAGACCTTTAAAGCAGAATTAACCATGGGGGACAGTGGGTTCATTTTGCTTGCCTACTTTTAAAATTTGAGTCAACATTTTAAAATAAGGAAATTTCACATAATAGTTAACATCTTTGGAAAAAAGGAGTTGTGGCTACAGTGGGCATGTACTCTTGAGAGGCAAGAATGGGCCGGAGTCCCTGTGCATGGGAACTGAGAGCCCCCACTGGCCCCACAGCCCCTGTACGTGATTGTCCACAGTCCTCGGGTTTCCCCAGGGCACTGCGTCCCGAGTCTGCTTTTTCTTCATCTGTAAGTCACAGTCTGGCCATGTCTCATCTGTTTAAAACCCTTCTCCAGGGCCCCGACAGCATGCCCCACATCTCCAGACTGGCAGTTGTGGCTCTCAGGGGCCTGGCCTATCAGGGCATTGGGTAACCCAGGAACAACATGAATCCTCTTAAAGACCAGGGATGGCAAATTAATGGAAGGTTTCACTTGAAAAATACCCAGACTTGTGGTTTTGTTTTATAAAACGCCACACTCACACTGCCAGCTGAGCTGAGCAGTAGCTGCCCCCTCGGGCAGGGCCTGTCTCCTCTCTGGCTTCTCACCTGGCCTGCACATCCTGACTTACGACAGCGGCCTGGGGTCTGCCTGCATTGGAGCCTGACACCCCTGGTTTGGGGCCCATTGAAGCAAACCTGTCTCAGCCTTTCTTTACCTTCCAAGTACTAGGCATTGTGGAGACAAAGACGCCCAGCTATCCCCCAACTCTCAGTTCCCGTGGACAAATGTGGGCAGTGTCTGTAGAGAGGGAACTGGGCTAATAGGATCTGGAAAGGAGGGTGAGAAGATATTTTCTCAGGGTTGGGCAGTGTTGATGGGAGATTGTGGAGGGGGCCGAGGGAGGGTGGGAAAGGAGGGGTTGGCCAGTACCTCCTCTGAGGCTGGCACTGCCCCTGACCCTGGTGTTCCCTCAAAGAACACACCTGGCCACTGATAGACAAATCTTCTCCTGGCACTGGTTTTATCCACTCATTGCTGACCAGTCCTTCCTACCTCTCAGGGCTCTTCCACTTTGGCCTGGGTGACAACACCTTCCTCTGTGGACTCTCCTCCTCCCTGGCCCTTCTTCCTCCCTCGCTCTCCTCTTTCCTCAGAAACCTTCCTAATATCATGACAAGAATGTGTCCAGTACAGAGCTTCGTCTGACTCCAGCCCTGGGCCCTGTTGCTGGGGTGTGAGAAGAACCTTCCCTTCAAGGACAGCCTTGTCTGTCTTAGAGTCTCCGGAACTCGGTGGCCAAAATCTGCAGCAGAGCCAAGAGTGCAGCCCAGGCCCCACATCCCTCAGCTGCGTGCCTGCTCCATTCCCAAGGTTTCAGCTGAGGCACTCACAGCAATGCCTTCGTGGTTTCTTTCCTACCCTCATGCAGTCCAACATTCACCAGCCTGGGCGCTAGGCTGCAGCAGTATCTCCCATGTACTCCTCATTTCGAGCCACCAGGGGGCAGAGACAGGGAGTGTGGCACATCTCTAGTTTGCATTTACTTCTTAAAAACATATTGCCACCCAGCAGGAGTGGCTCAGTTAGTTGAGCATTGTCTTGTGCACTGAAGGTTGCTGGTTTGATTCCCAGTCAGGGCACATAACTGGGTTGCAGTTTGATCCCCGGTCAGGGTGTGTGAGAGAGGCAGCTGAATTGATGTTTCTCTCTCTCCTCCTTCCTCTCTCTAAGCATGCCCTCAGGTGAGGATTAAAATAAAAAAAGTACTGCCTGCCGTGGCACTCTGAGAGGCTGGAACCCACAGTCAATTCAGTCTCTGTCCTGCTGGTACCACTGTGAAGTGCACGTGAACAGGGGACATGGTACAAACACTCGAGGGTATGTGTTATAACTGGAGACTGTGCCAAGTGCCTGGGAACTCCAGGGTAGAGCAATGGTCTCTGCCTGAGAGTGGGGTAGGGTGTAGCCTCACAGTCTTAGAGAGGAAATATTTGGGCTAGTTTCCGAGGGGAGAGGCATCAGGCAGAGGTGTCAAGATCCCAGAAATGGTGACACTGAAATACTTGGGCGCATGGAACAGGGTGACAGGAAAAGGTTGTAAAAATAGGCTGTGAAGACCTTGAATGCCTGCTAATGAGTCTGGACCTTATCTCTTACTCTAGGAGTTCAGGCCCTTGAGTCTGGGGCCTTTCATTAAGCAGGTAGTGATGTGGTCAGACCTGGGGCTTGGGAAGACCATTCTGGTACATCTGAAATGGAGGAAGACTAGTTAAGACCAAGGCCACATGTATCCACAGAAGTGCTTCAGTTACACCCACAAACACTTAAAACACAATTGAGAAGTAAAATCTGCCAGGACAAAAGGGAGAAGTGAACAAACTCACAAATATACTTGGAGACATCAACACTCCTCTTTCAGTAACTAATAGAACAAAAGACAAAAAAATCAGGATAGGAAACCTGAACACTGTCAACCAACTTGACCAAGTTGACACTGAGGGGACACTCCGCAACACCAGCAAATCCACAGAAACTGTCACCAAGACAGACCACATTCGGGGCCACATAACTAATCTTAATAAATTTCAAAGAACTAAAGTTACAGAGTACAATAAAACTAAATTAAAAATCAATAGCAAAAGACATCTAGAAAATCCACACATATCAGGAAATTAAGCAACACACTTCTAAATAAAACATGAGTCAAAGAAGAAATCACAAGGAAAACCGGAAAATATTTTTAACTGAAAGATAATGAAAACACGACATATCCAAATGGGATGTAGCTAAAGCAAGTGTTAAAATGAAATTTGTAACTAGAAAGGTTTGTATTGGGAAAAAAAGTTTAAAATGATCTTTAAAAAGTAGAAGAAAAAAAACCCTAGCAAATTAAACCCTCAGTAAGTAGAAGGAATGAATTAGTAGCATTAAGAGTGGAAACTAATGAAATAAAGAAAGCAGGTCCATCTTAAAAAATCAGATTTCACATAAAGATCTGGATTTTTGGCTACTGAAGAGGTTCTCACAACAGTGGACCCAAAACTGACATGGCAGCAATGGGTGCTGCAAAGGCCACCCTTCAGGCAGGACACACGCCCCAGTTCATGAGGAGGCCGGAGACGGGTCCCACAGTACCAAGAACTGGTGGGAAAGACGTAAAAAGGAGAAAGAGAAGCTGATCTGAAGTCCACTTCAGCAAAGAATCTCAGGTTTGGGGGATGAGGGCAGAGTTGAAGGTGGCCTGGCTTTCAGTTCTGGCCTGGATACTTATGACAGGGGTGCCCTTTGCTGCAGTGGGAAAAGGAATGTTGCATGGGAGCCTTTAGGGAGGAGAGACAGCGGTTCTGTGTGGACACACTGAGTCTGAGGTGTCTCAAGGACACCCAGAAATGGTACTTTGAGCAAGCAGCTCAAAATGAGCCTGGAGTTCAAGTAAGCCCCGCAGGGACATAGAGGGGCAGGTTTCACCTTTTTGGAGTCCCATAGGAGAAAGCCAGCAGAAACCCCTCAGAGAAATACTGAGCACCTACAACTGGGGATGGGGCTTTGGGATATTGACAATTCCCGAGCCTAACATTTCACTCTCCTGAGACTGACCTGAGACGGATCAGACCTTAAGAAACACCACAAGCCAAAGCAGTTCCCCAGCCTTGCGCAATGTGAAGAATCATGTGGGGAACTTGTCAAAATACAGACTTCTGGAACTCCCTCTGTCCTACCCATTCAAAGACTGTGAGGACAGCCCTGGAGACCTTGATTGTTAACAAGCTTCCCGGAGCATCTGGGAAGCCCTGCTCTAAGGAGCAGGCTGTGAAAAAGAGGCAAAGAGTGTAGGAGAATCAGAGCAGGTAGAGCAGAAAGGATCATTACCAAAATGCTGGGAATAGGCAGGGTCAGGTGTGTACAGCACAGACAGGGAAGGAAGCCAATGGGTTTGGCAATGAGGCTGTCAAGGATAGCCTTAAATGGAGCCATTTTGGTAGAGAAAAGAGCCAGACTGCCAAAGGTACAGGAAGGGTAAAAGGTGGCCCAAATACTCTGCAGGTTAGGAGAGGGCAGGATACAGCTGGAGGGTAAAAGCAAGGTTATGAAAGACTTTTTTATAGGAGAAAGATTCCAGACTTTTTGCAGGTGGATTAACTGTGAGAGGCAAAGAATGAGAGTGAGGTAGAGGGTGGCTAGATGGTATCCCAGGAGTGGTCTGCTACAGTCTCACTGGGGGGCACACCACACTGCCGGGCACTCAAACGTCTCAGCTCGTGCATCCTCACTCTGAGCCTCTGCAGGAGATGGGTTAACATCTTACTGAGAGGACTAAACAGGTGCAGAGATTAAGAATCAGTCCGAGGTCATATAACCTAAGCAGTAGATACAAAACTGCTGGGTAGCCTACAGGAGGCCCCTCAAACTTGCCACACCCCAAAACCAAGCTCAGACTCACTCACTCCTTCCCTTTTCAAACCAACCTGACCCCATCATGAAACCCTGATTCATGAAATCCTGATTCTTCAGCCTGTCTCAGGCCAGACACCTGCAGTCACCTCCTATTTTTCTACTATCTGACCTCCATACACAAACCCTCTGTTGGTTTCCCCTCAAACTACAATAAATATCCAAGAGCAGGGACACTGGGAGGGCCTCTTACAAGGATCTGGCCCGACCATTCTTCCTGTAACTCTGCCAACTTCCTCTTTCCTTTCCTGAATTCTGCTCTTCTTCATACATGCCAAGTCTGTTCTGACTCAGGCCTGGGTGTTTGCACTTGCTCATCCCTCTGCCTGGGACCCTCCCCCAGTATTTGACTGGCCCATTCCTTAAGGTCTGTTCAGGCCTCTGCTCAAATGTCACCTTAGAGGCCTATCCTGCCACCATTACCTAGCTTTATCTTCCTTCCTGCTATCTGACGTCATATTGTAGCTTTGTGCAATTTCTGTTTTTCCTACCAGAATAAACACTACGAGAGCCAAGACCTCATCTGTTCGATTACCCACTATCTGAAAACCTAGAACGGGCTGGCACATCGTATGTACGTGCTGAATGAATGCCTCAATTTAGTGAGATGCTTAGATCAAAGCTGCAGAGCCATCCCCAATTGAAGACCTTTAGGACTGTGGGGTCTCACCCTGGCTTTCAGGGCCTTCCTTGACTCTCCTGGCTCCCTTTCCAAGCACTCCACATGGAACCTCTGCAACAACCAAGCCAGTACCCTCCAAAGCAACTTGACTCCTCTCTGCCACCCCCCTTCCAGCCTGTGCTCCCTCTGTCTGGCAGGCCCTCCCAAAGACAACCCCTGGTGGTCAGTGCTCAGTCAGACACTAGCCTGAACTCCTAAACTTCCCTGACACTCTACATGCCCCATACCTGGCCCAGAATCTATCTTCAGGAAATATTTGCTAAAGGACAGTTGTTTGGATGTAAGAATTCCCCTGGACTTGAATGCTCCTACATCGATCATAGTGGCTACTGACTGGAGGCAGAGGTTGAGTGGGAAACTAGGGGACAGCAAAAAGGGCCAAAAATGACCTTAGGTTGGATTTGGTGTTTATAAGGGCAGGATGCTCCAGCCTTGGCTAGCCAAAGGCACAGGTTCCTGCAGTTTCATCCTCAGATGTGCCCACTATCAGACCAGAGTTACTTCCGGAAGCCAGGCAGGCAGGGAAATGACGGATTCAAACACAACAGTTGCCAATGGAAACGAAGGTCCAGGGGAGCAGGAAATCCATATGTGAATGTGAAACCTGCCATTTTATTTACTTATTTATTTATATTTATTTAATATATTCTTATTGACTTCAGAGAGGAAAGGAGACGGCAAGAAACATCAATGATGAGAGAAAATCATTGATTGGCCACCTCCTGCACGCCCCCTACTGGAGATCAAGCCAGCAACCCAGGTATGTGCCGTGACTGGGAATCGAACCGTGACCTCCCGTTTCATAGGTCCACACTCAACCACTGAGCCACTGCAGCCGAGTGAAACCTGCCATTTCTGATGCTGGCCCTTAATTCAAAACTAGCCAGGATGACAAAACACATTCCAGTCCATTCATCCTACCTATCGGTTACAGACAATGAACCTCCTCCACCGGTTTCTACTTTTCCAGCATTCAACACCTCTCTCATGTGGAGCATGCCCAGTGATCTGTGACCAAACACAAGGCCCGCCTGGCAGTGCCGGTGAGGCCAAGGCCTGGGACTGGCGCAGGGGCTCCACACTGACTTTACCTTCATTGTGCTGAGCTCTCCTTCTCTCATCCCGGGGTGTTCTAGTTCCGTCAATTTTCCTAGAAGAGGGATAAATGGGCACATGTCATCTCAGGGCCCATTTGTCCAAGCATCTATTAAGAAGTCAGACTTGAAAATGACCTTTGTAAGACATATTCATATGTAGGAAGAAAGAGGAAATGATACTTTCTTTATACTAAAGAAACAAAAACAGACCAAAAAATATATCAAGTGCCTACTGCGTGCTCAACTGCCTGACTTCTACTCCAGAGAACCTTTCCTTCCTTCGGCCCCACACCAGGCCCTCCCAGTGTCCCCTGCTCCTGGGCCCAGGTCTCCTGCACATACGGGGAGTAGGGATGGGTCCGCGGTGCAATCGTCCTTTGCGTTCCTGTCTGAAGCACGTCCTGGGGCGTCATCATGACATAGAACTGGCCTGTAGGGAAAGCCGGGTTAGTGCTAAAACTGGGGGCAGAGTCAGAAATGGCTGGGGAATCCCTCCCTGATGGGCCTGTTGCCTCCCCTGCCTTCCACCTCGGCCCCTTCCTCCCTTTACCTCCGGCCTGCAAGCTCTGGTCTGTGGTCTGTACCGACACAGCCGTGGTATCTCCCACACTGGACGCTGGGAAATAGGCAAATCGTGCCTCCCCACTGACAGCCTCAGCTGCTGGGCTGCCGCCATTGCTGAAGGGATTTTGGATTACAGCCTGGGGAGTAGGAGGACACAGAGGCCACCCTTAGCCATCTTGTTCCCCAAACTCTCCCCTTGTCGCCCTGTTTGATGGATGCTGCATCCTCTACGGAGGGTGGGACCCCTCTGTATGTACTACTCTGCCGATGTCTCAGAGGGCCCTGGGACCTGCAGACACTCGGCAATCATTTGGTGAACCAACTGACTTTTACCTCTGAGAAAGAGACTTTTCTATTACCATGATCCCAAGTTTAAAAAAGAAAAAAAAAACGATGTTCCAAAGATCTGGTCCAAGATTTCACTGTGCAGAACAGGAATTTAACCCACACAGCCTGACAGCCTGACGGCAGCATGTGTGTTGCACATGCCCCACCCACTGGGACTCCCCCCAAACGGTCAGTGTCCCCTCTCCGTCCCCCCGGCACTGCTGAGGACCTACCAGTGGGAAGGGTGCTGCAGGACCTGGGGGCACAGAGGCAGCAGCAGGGCCGGGGCGCTGGGCTGCCCCATCCACACCCACCTGGGTCACAGCCTGCTGCCCCCCAGCAAAGGCAGCCGTCGACACGACGCTGACGGCGCCCGCCGTGTCGCCCTGGCCATCCAGCTGACCATCAGTCACCTGGACTACGCGGTATGTCACCTGCAGGGGGCGGGCAGAGCAGCGAGGCCAGCGCTAGGGCCCGGCAGGGGCC